AGATTGGGAGGCAGACACTAGATCTGATGGAGCCTCATAGATGTAGTGCTTTCACAATCAACTCCATGCTACACTTACATGGGCCCCCTGCCAGCACCCCACCCTCAGGTCAGCTGCTGAGTAAGCCCAGCCACAAGCTCAGCTTTATTCACACACTCAAGCAAAGGTGAAAGTAAGCTGGTGCACCCCAGTGTGGCACAAAGGTAAGACAATAGTCGGCTGGAAGAAGGGCTTAACTCTGTCTGCTCCCAAAGTTGAAGCCAGCAGCTGTGTCCCCAGGGTGCTTCCTGTACCCCAAACTTCTGCCCTGAGCCCTCATGCATGCACCCAACTCTGACCTCTGCACCCGATCTCTCTGCCCTGAGCCCCCCCCAAATTTCTTAACGGCACTGTCATATCACAACCCCCCATTTCTCCTCTTCAGAGCGAAAGGGATTTACAGCTTAGGGCGCTGCCCAGCCTGCAGCGCACTCACAGGGGAACCGAACTCGGGCTGCGCCACCACTGCAGGCTCAGCCCTGCACAGGAACCAGCGGGAAGCGCTCGCCCCGCCTCTGAAGCTCAGATACAGGGCGGGCTGCTTAGCAAGCCTAGGCGACAGAACAAATTTTCCCGCAACCAAACTCACACAACCGAAGAACCAGAGAACCCTACGCCACCAAGCTGCGGCCCGGACTTATTGCGATACGGTAACTAAGCCCCGCCCCCAAAAAAATCTCCTCCCGTGCCCGCGCGCGCGCACCACGCCGCGAGACACGGGACTCCGGAGCGCGCGCAGTGGAGCAAACGTGGGGACACGCATGCGCTTGGTTGGGGAGTCCGTTTCCCAGCATGCGCGCGGGCTCGGGGGCGGGGCTGGAGCTGTGGGATGTGCGGAAGCGGTGTTGGGAATGTGCCTGCCTGTCAGCCAGGTAGGGGAGGGGGGCCCCGGGAGTCGGGCGGCTCGGTGCCCGGGCGGGGCGGGGACGGTCTGTCTACCCAGGGTGTGTGTGAGTGGCCGGGCGAGGAGAGCGGCGCTGCCCTGTGCGCGCAGTTGGGACCTGGGGGGGTCTGACACGGGGGCTCAGGGAATTGCAGTGGGGACTGGGATACTGTGTGAGCTCTGTGCACTGGGACAGCTCTAAGTGCGCGTCGGAGATTGCCATGTGGGATGGGTTCTGTGATAGATGAGGTGCTGGGGCATGGCACTCGTTGAGGAACGTGAGGCTGTCATCAGCTTCTTATTTTGAGTCTTCCCTAAAGATGACTTTCTGGTCCAGGTGGTGCCCTTTTCTCTTCCATTTTCTCCCCTCCCTGCTCCTGCCCACTCTGTGCATGCAGTGATCAGCATTTGCTCTGATATGTCCTGTTTGCAGCATTTCTTGGTGCTGGATTGTGTGAGCAGTGGGATTCTGATGGCAGGAGAAATCCCTTTCCTCCTCTCAACTCCCTGTTGTTAATACTAATGTAACGTTCCCTATGTACTTGTAAGGGCGGTTGTTTCCCGTGCCTCAGTGCCGTGTTCCATGGTAGCGAGCTTCTGTGACTCAGCCTTATTCTAGCTTGGATCCCTCCCCTGCATGTCTGTGCTGCAATGACCCTGCGTTGTCTTGGAGTGAGTCGGAGTTTTACTATTTCTTTTGTAATGCTAAAATATATATACTTTCCTAAATTGTCCTTTTAGGGGCAACAAAATCTGCTGATTATGAATTTTAGATAGAGCCCCCACTTTCATCTTATATGAGACCATCACAGTCTTTAATGTATTTGTCCTTACCACATCTCCGTGAGGTAAGGACTATCACTCTTCTGTGTCTACGCACAAATATAACAATAAGATGTATAAATTATTGTTTAACTTGATTTGTTTTGCAGCAGAACGAGGAAATAAGGCATCAAAGTCTTCTCTTACTACCAGGGTTCCCTGCAAGCTGGGTGCTTGTGTGGCCAGGTGCAGGAGAGATTCATGTGCCGCCCAGATGATTAGCAAAGCGTCCACAGCCAGATTTTTGTTTCTACTGGTGGTGCACATTCATCCATGCCTCAGTGCACATAACAAAATTTATTCTACCCATGAATGGAAAAAAATCCACACATGGATAGAAAAGATTAGAGGGAAAATTGCTTACTATTCAAATCTAGAATTCATTCAGTATTCATAGACTGATGCTTCCTTAAAATATTGTTGTGTTTTTCTTCCATGTTTGTTACCAGAATCACAATTTGTAATATATATAATTCCTAAGATTTGAGAACTAACTATAGCTGCTGTGCCTTTGAAAAACTAAGGTGCTTGCTGTACTTAAGGACCCAATCATTCATAGGATCCAGAAAATTATGGAAATCATTTATAAGTGATGATAATTCTGTTGCTGTTAGTATGCTAGTCCACAGCCTACACTGTCCATAAACTCACACTTATAAAATATAATTTTGTTAATTACCACTGTATTTTCTGTTTAACCCAGTTATTAAACTTTCTCTATAAATCAATCATTCACTTCAACTTCTTATTCGATTTTGCTAATTTTCTAAACTAGGAAGTTAAAATAAGTTTATTTTTGTAAATGTGTGACTGCTGAAATTTTCAGCAGTTACATTTTTACACACGGGGGGTGCAGGCAAGCACCAGCTCCTGCCTCTTATACGGGTATGTGTGTGCATGTAACCGTGAGATTTAACCAATGAGCCAAGGCTTATTGGTTAACCGTGTACATGGGTACACATTAACATCCCTACCCTAAACTCCTTTTTGTAAACCTCATTATTGAAAAGATACAGATAACTATAATGGAATATACTTTCCAAGTTGTGATATAAAGAAGGATGTTCTCTCTGTTTTGTGACATGACCTGAAGTTTACTTGAGCAAGTTTGAAGTACAGGCAGTCCCCGGGTTACATGGATCCGACTTGCATCGGATCCCTACTTACAAACGGGGTGAGGCAACCCCGCACTAGCTGCTTCCCCCCAGCAGACCAAGGAGACGCGAAGCTAGCCCCTCCCCCCCCCCAACAGACCAGGCAGATGTGGAGCGGCTTTTCTCAGCAGACACCTCAGCTTGAGAATAAAGGACTGAGGGAAGTGAGGTGTGGGAGAATAAAACTGAGCTCTGGAGAAATGTTTGGCTAGAGTTTCCCCTACAATATGTACCAGTTCCGACTTACATACAAATTCAACTTAAGAACAAACCTACAGTCCCTATCTTGTACGTAACCTGGGGACTGCCTGTAGTTTTGTAATCTAATGCTTTTTCTTGTTGGCACCAATATTTCTCTCCATAATCCAGGTTTCACTTTTAAAAATAAAGCTGTTGGGTGTTATATTTACCAACACCACTTTCAGAATCTGAACAGACTGTAAATTGATTGCGTTTTAGTATACAGTTCGGAGAGGTGAGAGTTGTTCTAGTTAATGTCAGTGTAGTATTTACCTCTGGAGCTAAAATATGGTTTAAATACCACTTTTGGTTACTACTTAAGAAACAAGAGGAACAATATGAAGATGTGCAAAATCCACTTGATGTGTTATCTCATCTTGGTGTAATGAGTGTGGGGTTTGGTTTATAGATAGAACGTGGAAAATTATGACTATTGTTGGCCCATGTTAATCGTCATGATGTGATTCCCCTGTGTTAAATATTGGGATTGGCCTCATGACTTTTTAATTTTGCATTTTGTATTAATGTTTAATTTGTTAATGTATTTGCTGTTATTTTACAGCTTCTGTTATTTATGCAAATGTTAGTTCTCTGGTCTACTAAATATGGATATTTCCCCCAAAATGTGAACAGGTAGTATATTTCAACTGCCTTTGTGTTCCCTTTGCTCTAAGACAACTCATCCTGTATTTCAACTGTTGAGTAAGTGAGAGGCTGAGATATTTCTTCTGAGCCAATTCTGACACAGTAAGGTATTGAAGGTCATTCTGCTGCTAGAAGTGACATCTTTCACTGAAGAGAGATACTGGGGTCATCATCACTTATATTAAAAATCCCAATATTTTCATAAGATTTAATAGTGATAATCCTTGTAACCTAAGTTATAACTTGAATAATTATATATTGTCTACTTTACTTGCTACAAGTTTGGTCTACGACAGTGGCCTCCAACCATTTTACACCCAACATCACTTTTTCAATGTCAGGGCAAGCCAGGATCTACCCCATCCTTTTAACCAAGACACCACCCCTTTCTTGAGGCCCTGCCCTCTCCAAACCTTTCCTCAGACTATTTGTTGCTAATGGAAACTCACATAAATATACCTGATCTATTTTGCTAGTGCTGCAGTTGGGGAAAATGGTTTAATTTAAATTAGAAAACAGATTAAGCATTTTAACTTTCTCATGTTAGTTGATCAAATTTGATTTTAAATAAAGTAAAACATTATGTCCAACACAAAAGGTTTCAATGTTTTCTTTCTTTAGGGCAGGAGCGGGGAACCTTTTTTTGGAAAAATCAATTGGGAACCACACAAGTGAGAAGCAAAAAAAACCCCCCAACCTTCACTGATGTGGCCCTCAACTGAGACACCTCACTCCTCTGGTGCTCAAGCCCCCAAAGGGCGAGGGGAAGGGGCAGGGAGGACTGAGGTTCAGGGCTTCCCCTAGGCCAGATTTACTTTTCTGGGGTTCCAGAGTTAGTGGATTTTGTGGACCCCCTTAGGCTCTAGGATGGGAACAAAAAGGAGGAGCTCAATGTGTGGGATAGGGATGCAGGATCTGGGTGGGAGATGGGGTGCAAGGTCTGGAAGGGAGTTTAGCAGCAGGAGAGGGTGTGAGTGGGGGGGTATGAGAGGAAGTTTGGCGATGGGAGGAGGTTGGGGCGGTAAAGCAGAAAAAGGTGAGAGGGTGAGAATGCAGTCAAATAGATAATGTAAAAGAAAGTACAGCTTCTGCAAAGTACAATTGTATGTCCCTCACATCTTCCTTCTGCTCCACCCTTGCTCCCCTCAGCCCCATGTTCCCCCGTAGCCTGATCCCCTGCATCACCCCATGCTCCTCAGTGCAACCCCTGCCCCTGTCCATCCTGCCCTTGCATCCTCCTTTGCCCCCACATCCCTGTGCTCCCCGTGCACACACTGGCAAGACAGCAGCGCTGGGACTCACAGCCTTTAGGGAGCAGCACTGGGGTGAGGAAGGAGAGGGGGCAGAGTCTCTTCCCTGCCCAGCCTTTTGCCTGCAGGCAGCTGGGGCAGGCAGAGCCCAGAGCTGCCCAGGCCTGGCTTCAGCTGGACCAGGTGCAGCGGGGCACTGGGGAGGGTGGCTCTCCAAACTCACACACACAGCCCATGGGGAACAGCATAGGGTAGCCCTGACCCCATTGCACCACATGTGCCAGCAGTCCAGCCCCCTCTGAGAGCAGGAGGCAAGAGCGGAGACATACCGCATGCTCTTTTCCCCCCCTTTCAGCCAGCAACTTAACAAAGAGGGGCAATCTAGCCCAGCTGAAACACGGTGCAGCCTTGTGGGCCACAGTTTTCACCCTGCTGAGGCTACACCATACTCCAGCTGGGCTGGATCAAAGAAGGGCAGCCGCCTAGCTGGCAGCCACATGGTCAGATGGCCGGGTGGGTGCCCCGCTTTGATCCAGCCCAGCTGGAGCACAGCGCAGCTTTCAGCCTGCCAAGGCTGTGCTGGGCTGGATCAAAGAGGGGCAGTTGCCTGGCCACTGCAGTTGACCCCTATGGCGCAGTGATCGACTGGTCAATTGCAATTGATAGGTTGGTGACCGCAGGTCTACAATATCTTAAGACTAATCGTGCTGGAGATAGCAAAGATTTTACAGCAGAATTTATTAGGGCTTCTCAGGGTTTAATAGTTAGCTGACAATGTTGAATGCAATTTGTTCTGGTCTAAACAGACTACTAAAATATGTTCAGCATTGTGTAAGTTATTAACAAACACAAAATAATACCGAAATTATCTATTTAAGTTTCCAAACTTTGTGCCATTTAAACTATCTCTTTTGCCCTTATGATCACGGGGGGCAAGCAGACTTTTCTTGATTATACTCCTGAACCTTGAATAAACTGTTACGAACAACAAAATGCATTGTCACTCAAACCACTATAGTTCCCATGTTTACAATGTGATGTTGGCTTTAAGTTAAATTGACCATTTCACCGTGTCAGGCTAGCAAGGGTAGTTCCAGAAGAACAACAAGCACTGCCTTTAAAGCCAACTATGTGATTTTATTTAAAAAACAAAAAAAACCGCACACTTCTGTTGGGCCAGTATGCTGTATCACAAGTAAAACACATTTGAAAAAAGGAAATTTTAGAGCAGGGGTGGGGAACCTTATTTAGGTCTGGAGCCACTGACCCACAGAAAAATCAGTTAGGGGTCAGATTTTGTTGTTCTTGTCATGTCACAAAAGAAGGGGATGTTTTCATGAAGTTAAAGGATGGCAGATTCAAAACTTATACAAAGGATGTTTTCACACATTATTAAGCTGTGGAAGTCATTGCCACAGGATATTGTAGAGGCTAAACACTAAAGGTACGGCTACACTGTAGAGTTTTTTTTCCCCAGAAGAAGGTATGCAAATTGCTCTCTCATTTGCATATCTTCATCTGTTGTTTTTTTCCAGAAGAGGACTTTCCAATATTTGGCCTGTCTACACAGCAACAAAAGTCAGAAAAAAACCCCTCTTTCGGAAGCCCTCTGTGTATCTCGTTTTATGAGGAATAAGGGGGCTTCTGAAAAAGGGTTTTTTTCTGACATTTGGCTCTGAGTAGACAGGCCAAATATCAGAAAATGCTCTTCTGGAAAAAAAAACAGGAGAAGATATGCAAATGCGAGAGCAATTTGCATACCTCTGTTGAAGTACCCCCTCCGTCCCACACACAGTGTAGCCCTACCCTTAGATTCTAAACAAGGATTTTAAAAGGTAAAGTACTGCTTAAAGACAAAATCTTTGCTTGCCTTTCAAACAGAGTGATTTTATTTATGTGAATTGTATTATTTTGTGTCTGTATAAGAAGACATGATATTCAGTTTCCATCATTTTAATAATTTTGGGTTTTCAGACATAGTTGCTTACAATTAGGCAATACAGTACTCAACTTTAGGCTCCTCCTTGAAAATGTTGGTTTTTGCCTAGTATGTAGAACTTAATCTGAATAAACTTTGCTTGACCTCCAGAGTTCTCTTTAAAGATGTATGGCTGGTACTGCTTCACATCCTCAAAAGCTGAATATTTGATTTCTAATAACTGATATGTTCCCGCTGATCTCTTTCTTCCTGAAGTCCTAATCTGTAGTGGGTCCAAAATTGATAGCTACGGTAAGGATTATTTACAAACGGATAATTATTAGCCAAAGTGCTATAAGCAGGTGTAACTTAATTATTTTTTATTAAGACAGTCACAATGTGTTTGATGCAGTACAAAAGCAAATGAGGATCTTGTTTAATAAACTTGGGAAATAAGCAAAGGCTGCAGATGAATTTGCAAGAATTTTTGTATGAAAATATGGTATTATAAACAAAAATCCAGAAAATATAGCTTACAAACTGAATAGTTTCTAAAGGGAAGAGTTTCACAAGTTTATATTTGGTGACACTTGCATCCTGGGATTGAACGCAAATGCCCTTTACAAATTTAATGACAATTACACTAATTTAAAACTGAAACAATGATGGAGGCACTGAAGCAAAAAATCTAAAAGACAGAGCTGTAAAGTGAGAGGGATAGGTATGTTTTTTGCATAGATATGAATCCACAAAGAATTTCTAGCATATTTAATATTACTAAACTTGGAACTTTTTGTTCTTTTTTTTTTTTGATGAATGAACTTTTTGGCTAATCATGTAATACTTCAAATTTAGCAATCAAGAGACATGGAGAAAATGCGTTTAAGATGGTCCAGCCAGAAGAATTGTTACTTTGTGAAGATTTTGTTTTGACTAATCTGTAAATACCTTGACAACTTCAAATTGAATTATTTTTCTTGAAATCGAGACTTATCTGTTGCCTTCATCAGAAATGTTTTTAACATTTTCAAGAAAAAATATGTCCCAGAAACTGAGTTTGTTGTTGCTGATATTTGGATTCATTTGGGGCTTGATGTTGCTGCGCTACACTTTTCAGCATCCAAGGCACCAAAGCAGTACTGAATTGCGTGAACAGATATTGGACTTAAGCAAAAGATACGTGAAAGCACTGGCAGAAGAAAATAAGAACATAATGAACGGTGGTAATGGAGCCTCAATGGCAGGATATGGTAAGATTAAATAAACCTGGTTACACAAACTTTTTTGTTCTAAACTGCCTTTGGTACAATTTTTAAGTGGGTTGGAGCAGCGGGTGGGGAGCTTGCCAGTTAACCATTCACATCCCTAAAGCGAACATGATGGTGGAATTGGGGAGGTGGGGACTTGATTAAGTATGTAGCAGAATCTGACCCTTATTTTACAGTTGGCTATAAGTGCTTCAAATTTAAGCCTCATTGTGTTGGTATTACCATATTTCCCTCTGACATCACTATGGTCTGTTATTTGTGCATTTGCTATATGACTACTGTCCAGGGTCGGGCAAAATATGGCCCGTGGGCCAGATCCAGTCCATGGGAGCCTCAGCCAGGCTTCCTGCCTGCCCAGCTGCCACATAGCACTCCTGTGGGGACATGTGCTTCTGTGAATGCTGCAAACCATACGAGTGGGGAAGAGGCTTCTCACTTAGCCTCTGCCTACAGCACAGTTTTGCAGTTCCCATTGGCTGGTTTCTGGTCAATATGAACTAAGGATGTTGGCTCATAGAGGTTTAAATGATTAACCGATAAGCCTGGGGTGCCAGAGCAACCTCTGTCTGCAGGGACCTCGGGCCCCCATGGACAGGGGCTGCTACCATCCTGTGCTGGTGCCTCTGTATCCGAGGCAGCAATGTGGGCTAGGAGGGGCTCCCTGAAAGCAGGGCTGGGAGCGCACTGGCTGCTGGCCCTGCCCCTGGGAACCATTTTAATAAACATGTAACCGATGATAAATTGTTGTGGCTACATGATTACTAAAATACACAAAACCTAACATCCTTAATATTAACTGCCTTTTTGTAGGACAGGCAGTATGTGAAGTACTTCTGCCCCCCTTCTCCCAGGCTTGTAGCATTCAGAGCAGCACACATGGCCCCTGAAGCTTCTCTGAGCACATGTAGGGGCATGAAAGGCAGGGTCTTTGGGTAAGGAACATGCTCCTGACAAGAGTCTGCCTCTGGCACCCCAGCCCCTCCCTGCCTCCAAACCTCTGCTCCCCCTTCATGTAGCTCTATTCTAGGTAACCCAAACCCTATGTACCCATGCCCATTCCCAGACCCTGCGCCCCCTGCTACACGTCACTACCCCCACCCTTATCCTACCCCTGGTCACCACCCAAATCCCTGCACTCCCTCCTGCACTTCAGCTCCAGGTTACAACTCTCTCTCAGACCCTATACCCCCTGCTGCACTCCTACCCCAGATCACAACACTTTCCTTTGCCTAAGCTCCCTCCCAGATACCATACCCTCTCCTACACCTCAGTCCCTTACCCCAACCTCCCTTCTGCACCCAACCTCCGTCCCAGACCCTGCACCTCCTCTGTTAATATCATGGAAGAGTGCGGTATTTTACTGCTTACCAAATTTTGAGTGGCCCCCTCCATCAAAAATTATTGCCCACCCCATAACTGTAGACCATGTTCATCTAGAATGCAAGAGAGATGTGTGTAGAGCTTAGTTATTAAGACTTATTTAATGTAAACATTGGAAAAAATTCACTTAAAAGAACATAATACTTTAAATTCTGCATTCCCCATCTCATGATTTGTCTAGATGTTCTATCCTCCAAATTGACACACATACTTAAATTTTCTATACTCTTCTCCAGTGTTTTGTTCAGCCTTACATTTCTGAAAACTAGATAGAAGAAACTAGTTGTGTTTCTGTATTCTGATAGGCAGAACAAAAGCTTCTGTGAGGATACATGTAATATAGACTTAAATAGGAATTGGTTTTCCAAGAAGATAAATTAGGATTTTACATGCAAAGAAACTCAGTACTATTCTTATTGCTCCTTCTTAGAAGGAACCTCTCTTTCCATAGGCCAAATCCAATATTTTTGTGTGTCAAAATATTTAACAAGGCATTTTAAGGAGTGTGTGTGGTAGAGAGATTAAATTTAAATTAAGCAGCTAATTAAGTAGTCATTGGAATTTTCATTGATAAAGGGTGAGAGGAGCACTTGCTATCCCTGCTGCACCTCTGCTTTTGAAATATAACAAGAGCCATGAGCAGCCCTTGCTACATTCCAAAGGCAGAGGCCCAGCGGGGAACCCAAACAAGGGAAGCAGAGGTGCAGTGTGGGACCAGGAGCAAGCCGGGAATCAGCTATCTCAGTTCGCACCCAGTCCCATAACCTGTCTCTCTGCTTTTAAATGTAGATAAACCGTCACTTAACAAAAAAATAGGGAGAAAGGAAGAGACTGTTATTTTATACTTTGTGATTCAATGGGCCAGTTCTCAGTTTGCTATTGTGGCAGCATTGTCTTGTATGGGAAAAAAATGTATTACAAAATATAGACAGCTAGAATCCATATGTAGAAGGAAAATTGAAGCACACTATGTTTTCTCTATTCTCTCCAAACAAATCCAGGAAAAAAAGAAAATGAAGATGTACATTAGATGTCCAAATCTGCAATTTTCTCACACATTGCTGATAATATAAATGAACAGTACTTAATGCTACTTTCTTTGTTTTGTCTTCTTCAGCTGACCTCAAAAGAACAATTGCTGTTCTTCTGGATGACATCTTACAACGTCTGGGGAAACTGGAAAACAAAGTTGACTACATTGTTGTGAATGGCTCAGCAACAAATACTACCAATGGGACTAGTAGTAATCTGGTTCCAGTAACTACAAGTAAACGTGTAAATGCAGCAAACATTAGATAGCATAGAAGATAACCTTAAGCTGATTCATCTATCATAGATTTGATTCAAAAAAAGCTTTTTACCTCTGGCTAGGGCAAAGCAATAGTTGACACATATCTGTACACTGTTCGCTATAGAATGTGCTGAGTACATGCAGTCTCAACTTCTATACATAAGGTTCTCAAAGGCTTAATTTGTTGCTTTCAGACAACTCTGTTAAAGCAATGCTGTACAATATTTAAAGATTGGTTGATGTAGTATGCCAAATGAGTAATACACTAATGTTTGAAATTAAACTAAAATGGAAAATATATATTCACTTCTAAAATATATTTATTTAAATAAAAACCTAAGATCATTTTGGATAAACTGATAATATCGCTTAATCATTTTTGTGATGTTTTAAACATGTAATTAAGGATAATGTAATGTTAAGTTAGTGTATAACAGTACAATATTTTGTTACTCATTAATTTGCTAGTGGTACGTTGAGGATAACGAGGATAACACTGAGAACGTTTTAAAATAGCAACCCAAAGAATGTCTTTATTTGCACTACCTGTTAGAATAGAGAGAATTTCCTGTATATAAAAATATCATTTATAATGAATATCTTAGGTAGCAACACTGTCCAGATATCTTTGCTCCAGAACGAGGTCAGTTAGATTATCAAAGGCAAAAGAGCCTGATACATAGTTATTTTGTACAAAAATATTTAAGTTTGTGTATTTTATAACTTCAGGTAAATTATTTAAGTGATGGAAGTCTAGTTTTCAGATGTGAATATTTTTATTCATTGCTGTTTCTTTAAATATTTTAGTATCTTGCAGTGTGACAAATATAACACATCATCTCCTTAACTTACTTTTTTAAACAGGAGGGAATAAGTAAATTAAGTTGAAGGGAAGCAGAGCATCTTGGCAAATACTAAAGAGATGCATATGCTAATGGTGTTTCATGAGGGGCACGGGAATGAGCTAAGGTTAAATTGCCTTATATCCATGTTAGCCTTACAGCAATGAGAATTGCAGTGAGGGTGCCCTATACTTCAAAATGGGCTTTCTGCATTATAAATGCTAAAATGAAAGTGCCATTAAGACCTATGTTTTTTAAAAATATACTGAAGTTGGGGTATTTTTAGAATTATGTTCTGGAATTTTTGCTTGAAATATGCTGTATAATAGCTTTTTACTATTTTGCTTAGAAAAAACTGATTCAGACCAGAAGTGCTGGATGATCTCAAGGTTTTCTGCTTTTCTCCCTGATAGTCCAGACTGGTCTAGAGGAAAGTAGACTATATAAATAAAAACTTGAGTTAGTGTCCTAATGTTTCTTATTTTGTGTTTGACATACTGAGTGTAAATTTTTTTCAGGAAGAAAAAAATAAAATTGTATTTATATTTGGGAAAGTTTTTTTTTTTTTTTTAACTAGAAAATTTACCTGTCATTGCTTGGGTCCTTAACTCAAATACGCTTTTTTTTTCTTCTTCTTCATTTAAATGACTTATCTTTTCCTGTTTTCTGTATGTGCTCTCCATGTACTTTGAGATTTTAAACTGTTGATCTTCATAGTTTATCACTAATCATAAAGTTTGCTATTTAATTCATAGGTTACATAAGTAGAACAGTACAGCCGCTCCCCGAGTTACGACTACCTCCACTTATGACCATCCGCACTTACGACCAAAGTGGTCATAAATGCAGATCCAAGTTACAAATGGCGATCCACGCTTACAAACAGTGCAGTCGCCATGTAATTCTATGGGATCCGAGTTACGAACACTTCGAGTTACAGTGTTGGTCCGTAACTTGTACATAACTCGGAGAGCGGCTGTAGATATAACTTACTTGGTTTTGAAATCCCAATATTCTTCTTTCAGAGGAGTCTTTGTGGGGGCTTCACACTTGATCTTGGTGCCATCCTGACACCTGGATCAGAGATTTCTCTAGCAGTCCTGAATGGGCTTCCATACCCCGTACTTTTAAGAGGGCTGATAGGAAGTACTATGTACCATCCAGGGGTTCAGAATTCCTTTTCACCCATTCCACTCCAGATTCCTTGGTGGTGGAAGCAGCACATCAGAGAGATAGGCAGCAACATTTCCGATCGACCTCTGGTGACAATGATAATAAAAGGTTAGATCTCTTTGGATGTAAAGTCTACGTCTTCTCCATCCTACAGTTAAGAATTTTTAACTATTCTATGCTTCTGGCCAAATACTCTGAACTATTCAATACTAGGAACTATACAAAGCTCATGGACTTTGTAAAGGACATACCTGAGGCCAAAAGGCCACAGTTTAAGGCTATAGGATTAGAGGGCCAGACTATCGCCCGTGCAGCCTTGCAGACAGCAGCCCTCCATGCGGAAGACACTGCAGAAAGATCCACTGCAACTGTGATAAGGATGCACAAAGCCTTAGTTTATCTTGACCATATACCCAAGAGAGATACAGTCTACCGTGGAGGATCTTCCCTTCAATGGGGAGAAACTTTGTGGGCAAGAACAACAAAGTCTTGCACATCATAAAGGACTCACATGCCATACTGTGTTGCCTAAGAATCCACACTGACACATTCAGAAGGAAGCAATATCATTATCAGCCCTATCAACAGTCCCGATATCCTCCCTACACACAGGAGAGACCTTTCGATCAACCAAACCAGCAAAGCCATGGACTGAGACCAGAACACTGACATCAACCACCAGGATCAGCACCTCACTCTCTGGCACCCAATAAGCAAATTTGAAGGTTTGGTCAAGGGCCTCGAAGACATCTCATCTTTTTCAGCACTGTCCTATGTTTGTGGATCGACTGCACTCATTTTATCATCAATGGACATCCATACCTGCTATCATATGGGTTTTAGAGGTTATCTTTTCTGGATATATTATTATTTTCCTCTCCTTCCCCACTGCCCATCTACCTACCTCATCACTTTCCAGGGATCCTTCCCATGAAATGCAACTTCATCAAGAGCTATAACATCATCTACAATTATGGGCAGTGAAAGCTGTCCCTCCTCAACACAAAGGGAAAGGGTTTTACTCCCACTACTTTTTAATTCGAAAGAAAACCGAGATTAGTATCCTATTCTTGATCTTTGCAGACTCAATGAGTATGTTCCACATGGTTACTCTCACCACCCTCATTCTGGTTTTGCAGTGGGGGGATTGGTTTCCAGCCTTTGACCTACAGGATGCTTACTTCCCTCACATAGACAATTCCTAAGTTTCACAGTGGAAACAGATCATTACCAATATTGGGTCCTGCCCTTTGGGCTTTACATGGCCCTTTGTGTCTTTTCCAAGGTACTAGCTGTTGTAACAGCAAACCTCCACAAATTAGGATTAATTACATTCCCCTATCTTGACGACTGCCTCCTCAAGACTCACACGTATGATAATGCATTATTAACCACAAATGACAATTCAGTGTTTTCAATGCCTAGTTCTACAAATAAACTGGGAAAAATCCTCTACAGCCCACACAAACTGTACAATTCATTGGCGCACACCTAGACTCCACAGTAATTCGAGCATCACTTCTGGATGAGAAATTCTACAGCATACACACTCTAGTGACTCATCATAAACCATGGCCCTGGAATATCTACAGCTCACTTTGTGGTGACACACGCTCTCCAAACGGATTGCAGATTATACCCTATTGTGGTACCAATTTAAGGAATCTCAGTCTTTTGTAACCTGACAGTCCATTCTACAAGATCTATTTCTATTTGAACCACATACCTACATAATGTCCTTCTACTAAAAATCTGCAAAGCTGCCAAGTGAGCTTTTCAGCATACATTCGCAAACCATTACGCCCTCACATATGGTCCTAGAGCTGATACTCATTTGGACAGAATGGTGCTTTCTTCAGCATTCTGACACACTCCAAAGCCCCTACCACCATAGGGGGAAACTGCTCTTTAGTCGCCAAGTGTGGAGCACTCAAAGGGAAAACTCTCTCTTGAAGACTTATGTAATAACTAGAGTTCTTTAAGAAGAGTGTCCCTGTGGGTGCTCCACTACCCATCCTCCTCTCCTCTGCTTTGGAGATAGTGGCCTCTGATGTAGAGATGGAAATGGAGCGCTTGGACTGCGCACACATTATTCCAACCACCCATGTTGGACTGCTAGTGAAATCTCTAATCCAGGCACTGGGATGGCACCAAGACTAAATGTGGAGCATCCACAGGGATGCTCATCTTGAAGAACTCCAATTATTGCACAAGGTGAGTAATCTTTGCTTTCTCATTAACTTTGCCTAGGTTGGAGAGGAGAGAAAAAAATATGATTATGCAATAGTTTTAGCAGAGGAAAGCTTTCAAAAGCACAGAAGACAGCTTGGCACGTTATCCAGATTTTTCAAATGCATCAACAGAAGTTATCTGAAGGCACACTAATTTTCTGGATACTGGTTAATTTCTCCAGGCACGCTATAGTAATATTTAGTAATGTGTATATAGAATCCTAGAACACTAGAACTGGAAGAGACCTTGAAAGGTCATTGAGTCCCGTCCCCTGCCCACATGGCAGGACCCAGTACCATCTAGACCATCCCTGATAGATGTTTATCTAACCTGCTCTTAAATATCTCCAGAGGTGGAGATTCCACAACCTCCCTAGGCAATTTATTCCAGTGTTTAACCACCCTGACAGTTAGGCAGTTTTTCCAAATGTCCACCCTAAGCTTCCCTTGCTGCAGTTTAAGCCCATTGCTGTCATCAGAGGCCAAGGAGAACAATTTTACTCCCTCCTCCTTGTGACACCCTTTTAGATACCTGAAAACCACTATCATGTCCCCCCTCAGTCTTCCCCTATCCAAACTAAACAAGCTCAGTTCTTTCAGCCTTCCTTCATAGGTCATGTTTTCTAGACCTTTAATCGTTCTTGTTTCTCTTTTCTGGACCTTCTCCAGTTTCTCTTCATCTTTATTGAAACGTGGTGCCCAGAACTGGACACACTATTCCAATTGAGGCCTCATCAGTGCAGAGTAAAGCGGAAGAATGACTTTTCATGTCTCGCTCACAACATTGCTATTAATGCATCTCAAAATCATGTTTGCTTTTTTTGCAACAGCGTCGCACTGTTGACTCATATTTAGCTTGTGGTCCACTATGACCCCTAGATCGCTTTCTGCAGTATTCCTTCCTAGACAGTTGCTTCCCATTCTGTATGTGTGAAACAGACTGTTCCTTCCTAACTAGAGTACTTTGCATTTGTCCTTATATATATACTGGTGATTGATTGCTCCTCTTGAAGAGCATGAAATCCAAAAGAAAATTGTCAAGGACTATTAGACAATGGTGCATGGTGAAAATGTTGAAAGTAGGCAGATGGATTTGCCCAGGCACTGTGTGTGAGGATTTTGATGACTGATGAGCTTGTGTAGATGTGTGCAATCATACTATTACAAAACAGTTCTGTAGTGCAACTGAGTGTTTACTATTTTTCAGCTTTGTGTAATACACAACATACTCACTGGATATAGTTTATAAAATGCTAAATATTTAAGAACTTGGAGTTAAATTTATAAGAAATTATTTTTATGGATGGAACAAATATCTCACATTGGGCTTACTATTTTAACAATACCATGTTATACTTTTCATTTAAAGTTGTCAGAAACCACAAGAAAATGGGACTGTTTCAAACTGGTACAACACTGTTTATTTACTTTTTTAAGATGGTTACCACTCTGACACCAAAAATTTCCTGTGATTTTTTTCTAATGGACCTGCATTTTATTGAGGCCAATACCTAAAATAAAAGGTAATTGTTTGCTAAGTAAGAATAGAGGAGGAGAAAAAAAGTAGTCGTGGCAACTGCTACCTGGACAGCCAGAAGCACCTGGGAATCCAACACAACTCCCAAGAAGTTCCTGACCTGATTACTCTAACATGCACACATGTCCAATTAAAGCAACTGAAATATCACTTCTTTTTCTCAGCTCTCTTCTATCTTTGTATAACTTCAGTTTTATCCTGTTTGAGTCCAAGCCTGCATCTAAACTCCAATCTCAGCAAGTCCATGGGTAACTTTGGCAATTGGACTGTCCGTCATCTGAACTGGAGACTAACAAACCGCAGTCCCAATGTGACCAACTCCAACAGCTTTATGTAGATGTGCATACAGTACCCAACATAATGGAGCCCTGACCAAAATTTGGGACAGCTAGGGCTCGTCTACACTGGCCCCTTTTCCGGAAGGGGCATGTAAATTTCATGAGTCGTAGTAGGGAAATGCGCGGGGGATTTAAATATCCCCCGCGGCATTTAAATAAAAATGTCCGCCGCTTTTTTCCGGCTTTTAAAAAAGCGGGAAAAGAGCGTCTACACTGGCCCCGATCCTCCGGAAAAAGTGCCCTTTTCCGGAGGGTCTTATTCCTACTTCAAAGTAGGAATAAGAGCCTCCGGAAAAGGGCGCTTTTTCCGGAGGATCGGGGCCAGTGTAGACGCTCTTTTCCGGCTTTTTTAAAAGCCGGAAAAAAGCGGCGGACATTTTTATTTAAATGCCGCGGGGGATATTTAAATCCCCCGCGCATTTCCCTACTACGACTCATGAAATTTACATGCCCCTTCCGGAAAAGGGGCCAATGTAGACGTAGCCGTTCAGTTTTGGAGATAACCTAGGGATGTGAAAGAGTAACTGGTTAAATGGTTAGTTGGTCAGCATCATCCTTAACTGGTGATGCTTACTGGGTAAAGGTTAACTGGTACCTGGGAGCAGCCCCGCCCTGCATGTGGCCCACCTGAGGGCTGCTCCAGCTCTGCGGAGCCCTCCATGCTGTTACCCGCACAAAATTCTCTGTTTCTTATACATTGTAGGGCACCTACCCGTATCCCTTTCTAGGGCCTAGGCATAACTCTCATAACATGGGCACCTGCCAGCCCCTGATTCTAGGATTTGGCGTAACCTTTTCAATATAGGCACCCACTGTTGCCCTTCTGCAGGTTAAGGTATTAGGGGCAGGTTTGCAGTTTTTTTTTTTTTTTTTTTTTACCAATGAAAGAGCCTTACACAGTAATATCCTACTTAATCTTTCTTTATTAATCATCTAAACTAGAATGCACATGCTAGACATACAGTGCTCACTACTCCCAATGTGAATAAGATGAACTTGACTTGATGGCCAGACAGGATCAGATTAATCTGGGGGACTTCAATTTCAACATGGTGTCATTGACACAGGGTTGAGGTCTGGCCGCTCTGATCTTGGAGCTGTGTCCTGGAGTTGATTCCCAAAGAATTTCCTTTTGGGTCCCAGCTTACATAGTGAAACCTGAGTTCTGCTTAGTGTTACTATAATCAATTGTTTTACTAACCAATCATAACCTATTGTAACAGAATTTACCTAGCCTATCAGCCCCCATCACCTTAGTTGATTAACACCTAGCAAAATTAATTATGCAGCAAACAGAAATAATTAAAACCAGACAGAGATCATATAGACAAACAACAGGAAAGGGAGGATCATAATCATAGAATGAGGATTACACAACTCCAACTATTGATAAGGAGTTTCTAAGTTTTCTTTACTCATCTTGAGATGTGTTTCTTTATCAGGTGATAGTGAATGCCAGTGGGAGAGGATCTCCTTAACAACTGGGTATTATACTATTTTAACTCAAGTTAGATGGAATGTGAATATGTGACTCCAAGAGCTAGTGCTATTCACTCTGGGTGCAGAGGAAGCTTTTAGGCCTTCCAATATGGCTACAGAAAAAGGTTGTATTCTTACAGTACAGGGCTGCTGGGTTCCAGCTTGCATGGGGGCCAGCAGGGGTGGCCTATGGGGAGAGGGCCAAGAACCACAGAGGCAGCCCCTGCAGGGGCTGAAAGAACTGCCAAGCTGGGGCAGCCCCTGCCTGTGGGTGGGGGAAGAGGCACTCTAGCCCTGTTGGAATAGCTCCCCATTTTTAATTGGTTAATCTGTTAAATGCAGTGTCAGCACTGCATTTAACAGTTTAACCAATTAAAGAGGATTTTTAAATTCCTAATTATAATCCAATTAACGTATGTTAAAAAAGGAGCAGTGGCAGAGCCTTGTGCAGCCCCCTGTTAGAAAAAAAATTAATGGAGCATAGAAAATGCCCTTTCACCTCTAGGGTTACTATGTGGCTGTGTCTAGACTGGCAAGTTTTTCTGCAAAATCATCTGCTTTTGTGGAAAAACTTGCCAGCTGTCTACACTGGCCGCTTGAATTTCCGCAAAAGCACTGATGATCTCATGTAAGATTGTCAGTGCTTTTGCGGAAATACTATGCTGCTCCTGTTTGGGCAAAAGTCTTTTTCCGAAAAACTTTTGCGCAAAAGGGCCAGTGTAGACAGCAGAGATTTGTTTTCCGCAAAAAAGCCCCGATCGCGAAAATGGCGATTGGGGCTTTTTTGAGGAAAAGCACGTCTAGATTGGCCACGGATGCTTTTCCGCAAAAAGTGCTTTTGCGGAAAAGCGTCCTGCCAATCTAGATGACATTGCACATGTCTAGTATTTTCTGAATTTTTCTACCGGACAGAGGGTGCAAATACCGGACTGTCTGATAGAAAACCGGACACCTGGCAACCCTACCTCCAAGCAGAAAGCTGGTGCTGGTGCTCCAGCTGCATGTGGGAGGAAGCGGGAGGGTGAGGCTGCAGTGCTAGTGCAGGCTTCCTGCTGCGAGGGGAAGGAGAGCTGAATTTGATCTGCAGACCCCCAGGAAGGTGGCTGCAGAGCCCCTCACACTGACTTGGGGAACCCTGGGAGGTAGGGTTACCAGGCAGGTTTAGAAAAAATACCGGACACACTTGATGGGGGAGAGCGGGGCTGGCCGGGTGAGGGGTCGGGGGCAGCGTGGCTGGCCCGGGGAGATGGGGAGGGGTTGGGGACAGCAGGGCTGGTCGGGAAGGGTTGGGGGAAGTGGGGTGGGAGTGACCTGGTCACATGCAGATCCCGGGGCGCTGTCAGTCCCACGCACGGTCCGGAGAAACGGAAGTGAGTCCGGCTGTGGCTCCACCCCGCGCTCAGAAGCAGGGACAGGGCTTCTCCTCCTCCCCAAGGCGTCAGACGCAGCCAGGGCTCCCAGTGCCGATTGCACACCACCTCCCAGCCAATCCCCCAGCCCCTGCCAGGCTTCTGTCCGGCACCCAGCTAGTAATCCATGAAATACCGGACATTGCACATGTCTGGTATTTTCTGGATTTTTTTACCAGACAGAGGGCCCAAAAACCAGACTGTCCGGTAGAATACCGGACACCTGGCAACCCTAGTCACCTCAAATCCTCTGGAACCTCTCTTAAAAAATCATATCCATTGCTACTTGGTCACAGAATCATGCTGATCTAGTTTTATTTTTTCTTAAATAAACAAGGGTGTAGACCTAAAAGTAAAACTGGCAGAACATCAGTCTCTAGGGCATTCAGTCATGTGGTTTAGCCACGATGGTAGGTCTCCCTTTTTAATTGCCTCATTATTTCTTGCTTAGAGCCTTCTTATTCTTAAAACTTTTAATTGTTTGCCAGATTCTTTCTGTAAAACTAAGTTAACAGGGAAAATATACTAGTTTATTCTGAAAATACTTGCTAATGGGGAAAACAAGGATTATTTTGAAATAAATGATGTTTGCATTGTATTGCATAACAAAACCTGTCACAATACCCAATCCTGCAATATGCAGATAAACTGAATAAATGAGATAATTAACATATGAAATCATTTAAACCACATTTTAAATAAACATATGGCCGTAGTGCAGTTTTCAGCCTACATCTTTAGGTGCCTAAATCTTTGAAAAAAATCTGGTCCCATGTTCTTCATCACTCTTATTCGTTTCCTCCTCGTTTTTAGTCATAGATCAGTAAAGCTTAAACTGCTGACAGCAGAGGGGCCAGGATGGGTGGGCACTGTGAGCGACATAATGCACAATGAATGCACTGTCTACACTTACCCTTTGTCAATATAACGTTACTGCAAAAACTTCTACCCCTCTCATCTCAGTAAGGTGGTGTTAGTAGGTTGGCGCTGCAGGACAGGTGCATCCTAGAGAGGAGCATTTCAGTGACTTGTAGACAACACACTTTAGCGTAGCTGCCCCCCACCCCCAGGCTCGCTACAGCTCTACGCCGGCGGGGGTGCAGGCGGCAGCGCCAGTGAAGCGGCGCGGGGAGGAAAGCCCCGTGAGGCGCCGGTGGAGAATCGGCGCCGAGCCGG